ACTTCAGCTCTAGAATCTTTAGGACTTTTACCTTGAGAATCACCTGAAAGAGGGGCAGGAAGTCTCCTCCTATGGCAACTTACAGGGTCAAAAAACTAATAATCATGAGTCAGAATCGATTTTTCAGCAAGAAGTTTGACTCTTTTGTCATTTTTAAAGAAACAATTCACCTGGTTGGTTTGGGGTTTTGGGTGTGTTTTTTTTTTCCTTTCTTCTTCCCTTCTTCCTCTTTCTTTTCGTCTCATTGCAGGAAAAAATTACACCACTCTGGTAAACTGGTTTCCTTCTATTTTAAAATCAAACAACAAAGTCAGCCCCCACCCTCTTAGATGGCCTTGTGCCCTGGCCTGGGGCTCAGGTGGCACTGTGGGCAGCACAGGGTAACTCCACTGACCCCTGTTATTGACCTGATCCTGTTCCTTCTAAGGGCGAAGTCCTCAGCAAAGTCCTCAGCGGCCAGACTGGCTGGAGCCAGGGTCTGTTGATGGGAACAGATGTTGAGGCGGGGCCCTGAGTGAGTGAACGGATCAGGCTGGCTCGTGCATCCTGGCTGGCCCGTCTCACTTCGTTCTCCCCCGCCTTGCCAGTCAACCTGGTTTCTGGTCCTGGAATTGTGCCAACCACATTCCCACTCAGAAACTTCGTACGGTGCGGTTATTGTTTTGCGGGAACAGGGAGTCTTCCTTCCATCAAGACTATTCTTCAAGAGAGAAACCTCCTCTGAACCTTATGACATTAAGTGAAACTTCTATTGTTGTTAGGTGTCATCAGGCCGGCTCTGATTCAGTGACCCAGAATGAAAACCAGCCTGATCCTAGAAGGCCAGCCTTTCTCCCTAGCGGCAGTGTCACAATTGTGGTTACTAGATTGTGTGTGAGACAACAGACAGGCCAATGTGTGCTGAGCAAATCATTCCAGGAGCTGACTCTCTGAAGGAAGAACGTGGCATCAGGATCAGAGGAAAATTCATCATCAACCTGCGTTACGTATATGGCAAAAATGAGGACTTGAAGTGCTTGCTGCAGAAGATCAAAGACTATATCCTTCAAAATGGATTACATCACAAAATCAAGAAAACAAAAATCCTCAACACTGGACCAATAAGAAAGAAACATCATACTAGATGGAGAAAAGATTAAAACTGTCAACAACTCCATCTTACTTGAATCTACAAACAACACCCTTGGTATCAGCAGCCAGATCAGGAGATTTGCATTGGGAAAGGGCCCTCTCCAAATTACTGAGAAGCAATGATGTCAGTTTGAAGACTAAGGAGTGCCTAATTCAGGCCATTCTCCTTTTAATCACTTGTGCATATGAAAGCAGGACAATGAATATGGATGGAAGAAGAATTGATCCTTTTGAGTTGTAGTGTTGAATATCCCATGGACTCCCCAAAGAACAAACAGATAATTATGTCTTGAAAAAAGTGCAACCAGGGTACTTCTTAGAGACAAGGATGGGAAAGCTTCATCTCACACACTCTGGGCATAAATAGGCTATTCCTTGAAAAAGGATGAAAGGTCATGCTTGCAAAAGCAGAGGATCAGCAAAGGAGAAGAAGATCTTCAATCAGATGGACTGACACAGTGATGTGACTGAAACAATGGACTCAAGTATCAGAGACGACGAAGATGGCAGAGAGGACAAGGTTCAGATCTGTTGTTCACAGGATTGCTATGAATCGTATTTGATTCAACGGCATCTAACAGCAGCAGCCAACCCTCTGTGGAAAGAGCAATCAGGAGACTCGCCTGGAGCCAGCTTTACAGTCGGGGTTTGGATGGATGACCTGACTGAGGGGCCTATCCCTCCAACTTCCATTCCCACTCCTCCTGCATGGAGATTTCCACCCGCCACCTTCCCTGCCAATGTGGTTAGCTTTTCCTCTCTCTAGACCTTTACTTTGGTCTCTCTGCCCTGTATCCCCTTCAAAAAGCTGGTGAGGATTTGCCTTCCTCCGGAAACCCTTCCCAATCTGCCCCACCCCCAGCCCTCTAGCTTTGTTCTATTGCCTCCTTCAAGGCCTCATGGTGACTCAAGGAATGGATTATATGTTGTGTTGGGCTGCTGCTAATCTAAAGGTCAGTGGTTCAAATCCACCAGCTACTTACAGCCTTGGGGACCTATTGGAGGGTTGTGATGAACAAAATCTTGACTTGATGGCAAGGGGTTTGGTTTTGGTTTTCTTTTTGTTTGTTTGGTGTTTTGGTTTTGATTTTCTTAAGCTCCCAGATCCCTGTGAGTGCTCACTGGTTCTCACCAAAAGGGTAGCGCAGTAGAGTGGTGCCAGCATGGACTGTCGGGGCTCAAATTAGGCCCCACGGTTACCAGGTGTGAGCCACAGGGAAGTGATTCAGTCTCCTGCAGTAAGATGCTAATGGTACTGACCTCATAGGGGAAGTGATTCTCAAAAGTCAGTGCATCAGATCATGGGGTGGACATGTGACAGCACCAATGCTGCGCCCCACCCTTTCCAAAGTGATTCAAATCCACCTGCTGCTCCATGGGGAAAATATGGGCAATCTTCTCCCATACAATCTACAGCCTCTGAAAACCCACTGGTGGGTCAGCTGTGAGCCAGTTCTGATTCAATGGCTCAAAACAACAACAAGCTGCTTGGCGCTGCTTCTGCTAGTGCAGAGACCACAATCTGAAAACTGTCATAACAGTTGTTAAGGAAAGTGCTCAAACAAAGCACAAGTACCCAATCCCATTGCCCTCAAGCTGGGTCCGACTCAGCAGCCCGCCATCGGACTTCTGGGGCAAGTCTGTGAGGAGACTGCCCATTCCCCACAGCACTGCTACAGGCTTCCAGCCGCTGCCTGGCCTTTTGGTTATCAGCTCAACACCAACCATGTCACCAGCACTCTTTCAAGAAAGCTCAGTGGATATTAATTAATGTAGGATGGGCAGATCTGTATAGTATATTAAAAAAACACAACATAGCTGGCCTTCCAACAGGTTTTGAGGAGACTATAAATCACACAGGAGGGGAATGCCCAGCTTTCTGCATAACACCGCTGGAGGATTCGAACCGTCTGAGAAGCACTGCCTTTGGGTTCACAGCTCCCTAGACTACACACCACTTGGGTTCTCCAAACGAAGACAACCCCATTCCCATCACTTCAATCTTGACAAACGATGACCCTCCAGTGGGTCTGTAAATCTAAGAGGCTCTAGATCCTTATGAAGGAAACTGCTCGTCTTTCTCCCTGGGACAGGTGTGAATCTGAACCAGGGCCATTTTGGTGAGCAGTCCGACACATCACGTAACATGCCACCAGAGCTCCTTAGTATATAGTAAGCACAGCAGAAGACAGCTAGCTGTTAATACCCTTAGCTGTTATTGTTGCTGTAGTGCCGGCGTTCCCGTGAACAACAGATGTGAATTCTGTCCTATCCTGTGCCGTCCTCAACATTTCAGAAGTGCTCGAGCCCCTTGCTGAAGTCACGGTGTCAGTCCAGCAGGTTGAGTCTTCCTCTCCTATGCTGACCAGTCATCTTTCCAGGCATGATGTCGCTCTCTAAGAAACAGCCTCTCCTAACAACATGCCCAAAGCATGTGACATGAAGGCTTGTTACCTTTGCCTTCAAGAAGTCCTCTGGCTGCACCTTCTCTAAGACATATCCGTGTGTTCTTTTGGCTAGTCTAGGAGATATTCAGCACTCTTCTCCAATACCACAGTTGAAAGGCATCAATTCTTCTTTATTCATTGTCCAGCTCTCAGCAGCATAGCAAGTGACTGAAAAGGCCATGTACACCTTAGTGCTCAAACTGACATCACTGCTCCTCAGTAACATGAAGAGGTCTCTGGCTGCAGACTTTCCCAGTATAACACGTCTCCTGATCTCCTGACTGCCAGTACCCAGTGTGTTCACTGTGGATCCAAGTAAGATGAAGTCAATGATAATTTCAACCTTTTCTGCCTCTATCATGACGTTGCCTTGATCCAGTGATGAGGGTTGTAATATCCCTTATGATGTAGTAAGTGACCTGTTAGACTGCTAATTGAAAGGTCACTGCTTTGAATTCACCATTTGCTCCTCCCATAAAGATTTACAGCCTCTGCGTGTCACCATGAGTCCGAGTCAGCTCGATGGCAGAGGTTTGGTTTGGGCTTTATGCTGTGATCTGGTCACCTCTGATACCTGATGAGGGTTACAGGAAAATGGCTTCTTCAGCACAATTGAGTCCTGAGCTTCACTGTGCCATTTCCAGCTCTGAGACCCTGAGGGTGTCACCCAGGATCTCTGAACCTCAGCTCCCTGGATGGTGTTTGTTTGCAATTGATTGCTAACCTAAAGTTTAGAGGTTCAAATCCTCCCAGTGCTGTCAAGTGAGAAAGCCCGTCTGAGAGGCCTCTGTAAAGATTACAACCAGGAGAACCTCACAGAGCAGTTCCATTCTAACGCACAAGATTTTCATGACTCAGAATAAACCCAATGGGTTCAGTTTGTTTGTCTGAGGTTTACTTTGGGGGGGGGGAGAAATAATTCTCTGAGCCTCAATGTTTTTATCTTCAGGGGCTGTTATGAAAGTCTGAGTTCTTTGAAGGGGGTCAGGGCCCTGAACAAAGCTGTTCCTTGAGCCAAACACAGTGCAGTTTGAAAGGTTGGGGTGGCGGGGTGCAGTGTAAACACATGGAGTAGCAATCGGACCAACACGGGATGTGATGCCAGGCAGGTGTGGGATGCCATGAAGAGTGGGGACTCTGACACATGGGGAGAGGCAGCCATCCTCTGCTTCCAAGGAGCTGTGGCTAATGTTTGAATGGAAGCCCAGTGCTCTTAGATGATTTGAATGTACCCAGTCAGGAAAGAGAATTGTGAGGTCACACTCCCCAGGTAAACAAAGCCCGCTGGGGAGCAGACCCCATTCACTGTCTTCAAGTTCAAGATCCCTGGGTCCCTGCCTTCCACAAGGGCCCAGCAGAGGACAAGCAGAGACTTTAGAGACAGTGGGGTTGGGTCCAAAATCATTAGCTTCTAGACAGGTGTTTGGCTCTGGGGCATTTATTTCTTGTCCCTTTTGTAAAAGCCCAGGACTAGGAATGGAGGTGGGGGGGTGGGGCAGGAACCAGGCAGAAGGTAAAAATAAATAACACGGACAGACAATGTTCCCCTCCAGACGGATGAGGTTAAAGGAAGGTTGGAGAGGAGCCACGGTGAGGGGAGTTGGCGGGTGGGGTGGGGCAGGGGGCAGCAGCTGGGAAGGTACAGGCGCCAGGCCCCCAGGACCCGAAACTGCTGCCCACCCTTTTCCTGCCCCAGTCCCCCTACTTTTGGGAGGAGTGGAGCCCACAGTCAGCGGGCACCAGCAAGGATCCTGATGGCTTGACTGCACCAATCGCCCGATCCCATCATTTGACACGGATCTCAGCGTACTCTGCCAGCTCTTCCGTCAGGGTGTAGCTGTCCTTGGTGGGTCGTTTGCCCAGGTCCGAGTGGGAATAGCTCAGGTCCAGCTCTGGGGGCTCCCCCCGAAGGCCCAGCAGCCTCCTTTCAGATCCTAAATGCTTCTCGCTCTGTGAGGGGAAACAGCTCGTTAATAAGATTCCAGACTCCCTTTTCCCTAAGGCAAAATCAGGAGTAGCTTGAGTTCAGTCCCAAAGCCCTGTGCCTATCAGCTCTGTGTGACCTCCTGTCTCAAGGACAATTAGCACAGCTGGTCCCACAGCCCACCCAGTCCCACCTATGCACACCGCCTCCTCACTGCCAAATCCATTTAACCGTTCTGTTTCACCAGGATGCCTTCCCAGGGATAGAGCTCATCTCTGAGCCTCCTGGCTGGGATCTCATCTTTGTCACATTTGACAGATGTTCGGCACGTCCTTTCCCCTCGTGGGACTGGTCCCCTCCAGAGCACGGAGTGTCAGCAAGTGTCACTTCAGCCTTTCCACTGTCCCTTCCACCCCCTCTCCCGCCTCAACACACGCCTTTGAGCACACATGCAGGACTGGCCACAGGCAGACAGAACACAGCAGCAATGGACAGCAGAGACAAGGCCAGCATTGGAGGGCAGGGCCCGTACCGAGAGCCTGGCGTGGGCAAGCAGACATGCACGCCAACCCCGGAGCCCCACTGGGGGGCCCTGGGGCAGGCACACTGAGGCCCCCGGAACCTACCTCCTGGGGCACTCAGTGACATTCCAGGGTAGAGACCTCTTTGGACTACTGGAGAAGGAAACGCAGTCACAGACCCAGGCAGGAATGTGAGGGCTCCCTCCAGCCCCGTGCCCCATAGCCAGCCAACTCTGCTGCCGAAGTCTGGACACCCCCACCCCAACCCAAATGCTGCTTCTTCCCACCCTACCTTCTCTGCCTCCGAACAATTGTCTTCCCAAACTGCCCATCAGCCTCAGGGCCCCTACCAGGTCCCCTGTATCCAGATTCCCAGAAAGCCTGGAATCCGACCCTCACCTCGTATTTCTCCGGAGCCCCAGAGATGCGGAAGTCACTGCTGAACAGGACAGGGGGATTGTCCCCTGCTGAGAAGCTGGGGCTCTCTGCCACATTCTTTCTGTAGGGCAGAACACAACCATTCCAGTGGGACCCCTGTACCCTCTGCCCAATATACCTTAAGACTTTGGCCCAAGGGACCTCAAAGCTACTCCCACCATCTGTCTAAAACGCAGCCTTTCCAGGACCGCAATTCCCAGCCACCACTACCTGTTCTTCCCCGCAGGTGGGCTTCTGCCCTAGCTGTGGACCAGCCACCTGGTCCCTGATCTCCGCCACTTCCCAGGACCCTGGTCTGGCTTCTCCACATTTCCCCTCATTTGCTCTAGGTCTGTCTGTCCCTCTTGTAAGAAGGAAGTGGAACGGAATGAGGAACACATGTTTAGGACGACGTATGTTCCGTGACAGTGTGCCACGAGCAACGGAGCTGAGCTGAACTGGGAGGATGTGTTTGGGGCAGGGAGGCCTTATTGTCACCACAGATGTTTTTAAATGTTGAGACTTCTGGAACCAACTGTGATTAATGGCTCCAAGCTCAGGAGGGGGCCTGGTCTCTTTCCATTACTGATCTATGTGGTAGAGGAGTTCCTGGACATCAGGGAGGCAAGGCCATAGCAGAGAACCTGGGGAACGGGGCAATGATCTGAGTAAAGAGCTCAGCCTGGGCACTGGTGAGCCCTGACCAACAGCGGTCATTAGCCAAGTCTTCTCACCTCCACCTAGCTGGCTTCCCAGAGCGGAAACCCCACTCGCTACATACAGGTATGTTCCCTAGTGTGCACCTCGGGTTGCCTTCTCTGTCCAGCACCCCTGGAGCCCCTCTGCCCAGCAGGCACACTCACTTTCTGCGAGTCTGGGTGATGTAGCAGACGATGGCAATGAGGATGGCAAAGGCGACCACGGCTCCCACAGGCCCGATTTTGGCCCACATTAAGCGATCTGAGAACAGAGGAGGAGACCCAGGCACCCTCAGGGGTCTTCTCTGAGAGATCCTCTTGTCTATGAAGACAGAGGTCACAGCACTCCCCTGCACCTTGGTTCTCGGGCAGTGGGCTGTGGCAGGACAGGGGTCAAAGCATGTGATCAGCATGTCTTTGCCCTCACTGACCAGCATGGAGGCCCTGGACTCTCTTTAGGTGCTGGAGGACCCAGGAGAAGGGCCAGTAAGTGATTCAAACTTAGGACAGTTGTTCTTGACCAAGAGGAAAGGGAATCTTTTGCCATTTTATCAACCTGCACAGCCTGGCTCATGGTGTTGGGGCTGGGAGTCTGCACCCGGGCAGATTCCTGGGGGTTCCCACTCTATGGCCACCCCACTCACGGGCTCCCTGGAAGGGCAGCTCCAGGCTCTTGGTGCCGTAGAGGTTGCGGGCAGTGCAGATGACCCGGGGCGGGGCCTGGGCCTGCCCGCGCAGCGTCAGGATGCTGGTGAGCAGGAGGCCACTGCGTTCTGAGTACACAAATTCCCGCTCAGTCTCGTTCACCGTCACGTTGCGCGAGGGCAATTCGAAGGCCACGGCTGGCTCTGGGTTGGCCTTCACCACACACAGGCACTGCACGGTGTCACGGGCCGCTGCACAATGGGACTCCAGGAGGATCATGGGGGCAACTGCAGAGCAAACGGAGAGTGGGCTGGAGGCAAAGTGGTTGCACCTCGGGGTGCGGGGGGGGGGGGGGGGAAGGGTGTCCTCCACGTGCGGCTAAGGCCTGTGTGACCAGAGCTGAAGCAGTAAGCACTGCATGTAGATGCTGCACTGCATGTTCCCCTGGGCAAGATCTCTTGCTCACTTACATTGTCCCTAACTTGGTCATCTCTATAGATTGTCATGAATTGAACTAGGCCTCCCAAAATTGTTATCTAGTACGTACTGAGTCAGAATCAACTCATCACCGACCTTCCAGAGGATTTTCAGAGGCTGTAAATCACACTAAAGGAGATTGTCCATCTTTCTTCCTCAGAGCAGCTGGTGGATTCAAACCACTTGCCTTTTGGTTTGGCAGCACAACTCCCAACCCACTAGGTCAAAGAGCTCCCTATTGTTATTTAGTACCATTGAGTCAAGTACAATTCATAGCGACTCTATGAACAAAAGATCCGAGCCCTGTTCCATAACTATCATGGCTTCTCTAATATTTAAAGAGTTTCCAAAGGCACGTTGTTTAGGAAGTGGATGCCACTCCTGCTTCCAAGTCCATCTTAACCTGTGAGCTCTACCAAACACTGTCCACCTTGGGTGACCATTATGACATTTGACACACCAGTGGCACAGGGTTCAGAATCACAGCAACTCCAAGTTATCTCAGGAAATTGACAGACCAGTGCTGTACCACTTAGAAAAAAGCTCTTCCCAAACACAATTAACACCAGGCCCAAGGGCCCAACCAACTTTTAAATACAAAGGCCCACCAACCAGGTCCTGATTGCCTTAAATAAGAGGCTTCTAGCCCATAGCTGATTGTTGGCTAAATCCAAGAAATCAAGGTGACCAATCAGCTAACACACAATTGTGAATGAAATAAAAAAATCCAAACAGTTTATACCCCAAACAGTTTACACCTGACTTTCAACTAAAATAAGAGAGCCTACCCTCCAGAATTCAACTACTTCACATGTGAGCCTCCAAAGTGGAGACTTAGTCAGGGCCCAAGCGACTTTTAAATACAAAGACAGAGCTCCCTAGCTCCCCCAAAATGCATGTATGTAATGATCCTCAAGATCTGATAAACCCAAGAGTTGTAAAAGGAGTAAGGGCAGGAGGGAACACACCCTTAGTTTCACCGAAGCCTTGATTGAGCTCTGGAAGCTTAATGTATGAATCTGTGCTGCAATCCCAAAGGTACAAGGCTCAAATCCACTAGCTGCAACAAGGGAGAAGAATGGGCAGTCTCCTCCTGTGAGATATACAGCCTCTGGAAAACCACTAGAGGTTTTGCTATGAGTCTGACTGGACAACACACAACAACAGACAGAAAATAGGAGGAAAGGGGAATTGACAGGGGTGACCTCAGTATCACTGAGAAAGAATAGCCAGGACTGGAACTCTTTTAGGACTCAGCTCTCCATAAGGAAGTTCCCTGACCCCAGGGAGGACCAGAACATGTGGCTTTCAAGACATACCAAGCCCAAGGGACTTTCCTCTGCAACAAGCAGAGGTAGAAAGCCTTCCCCTGGAGCTGTCGCCTGAGTCTGGACTTCTCCTAAACAGAATGGCGCCTCCACCCACCGGCCTCCCCTGATGGACCACTCTACTCAGACTGACTGCATCTGCGGAGCCTTTAGCTTTGCCCTGGAGATGTCCTGCTTACAAAGAACATTTTTTAAAATTTATTTATAACTCAATAAATAAATAAAATGATCAGCTGCTAATTTCACTTATGAAGGCATTCATTATGCTTGCTGCAGCCAAAATCAATTGCCATCAAGTCAGTTCCAACTTGCGGGGCCACAAGTCTGTTGTTGTGTGCTGTCAAGTCAGAGCTGACCCATAGTTGACCCTCCAGCAGGTTTACAGAGGCAGTAAAATTGCATGGGAGGAGACTGTCCGTCCTTTCCCCAGGCAGCCAGTGGATTCAAATCACGTGCCTTAGGGGTTACAGCGCAGCTTCTTGCCACTAGGCCACCAGAGCGCCTGCAGGGTTTTCAAAGGATGTAAAGCTTTACAGGAGGAGACTGCTTCATCCTTTCGTTACCTCTCAATTAGCAGTCCAGAATACACGGCACTGCGCCACCAGGGTTCCTTGGGCTTGCTGCAGGGGAGCTCAGTGGCAAAGTGCATAGGGAGCTGCACTGCTAAGCCAAGGTGGTGTCTTCCAGGCAGTTCAAATCCACTAGCATCTCTGAAGGAGAAAGCTGCATAGTCTCTTCCCATGAGATTTACTACCTCAGAAACCTAACAGAGGAGCCACTAAGAGTATGAGTGTTAACTAACACAACGCCCCAAAGCACACTGTCATTGATTAGATGCGAGTTCCAATAGTGGCCTTGCAACAAATCTTTCTCCCGTAAAACTACTAGCAGATTCAGACCTCTTGGTTATCACTCCGCTGTCCTGTGCAGCACACCAGCTCAAACATACCGCTGTGGAATCAGAACTGACTCACAGCCCACCCTCCGGCGGGATCCCAAGGTTGTAAATCTCCAGGGAGGAGATTACTCATCTTTCCCCAGAGGAGCTGCTGATGGATTTAAAGACCCAGAGAAGTACAGCCTTGAGTTTACAGCACAACTCCCTACGGTCTATGCTACCAGAGCTCCAAAGTTAACGCATCACAAAGAAAACTAATAACAACAAACTGACTGATTAATAACACCTAACTGACCAACCTACTGGCATTAAGCCAGCGGCAGCTCATAGCTGACCCTCCAATGGGTTTTCAAAGACTAAACTGCACAAGAGGACACTGCCCATCTTTCTCCTCTGGAGCAGCTAGTGGATTCCAATCACCTGGCTTTCTGTTTGTAGCAAAAGTATTCCTCCCTAGGCACAAGACTTTGCTACTCTTTTAAATAGTTGTGTTGTCACTGTTAGGTGCCACTGAGTCGCCTATGGCTGCTGACGACCCTCTGAGCAACAGGTCGGAGGCTTGTCCTCTCCCGTGCCGACCTCAAGGTCTCCATCATGTTCAAGTCCACTGTTGCACTCCACCATACTTTTAAATAGCAGCAGTGAAAAAGAAAAGCAAAAAACAACAAAATCTTTTCATTCAAGATGGTGTTGCTCCTCTTTTATTCAATATTGTTTTGGAAGTCTTAGCAATAGCAATAAGACAAGAGAAGGGAATAAAAGGTATCCAAATAGGCAACGAGGAGGTAAAATTA